CGCACAAAGTGTGTAAAATAACGCTTGTGCAGCTTTGTGCGTGCATCAGGTGAAACGTTGGCTGCGGTGTAATTTTTCAATTGTGGCGTGTGCGAAAAGGCAACAATGTGGCGGACATTGGCCGACAAACCGGCTAAGTGGACCAGGCGGCGTGCATGTGCACTTTTTTAATGTCACCCAACCGCAACCCACAAGGCCTCGACGGCAGAGAAAATGCAAGGTAGAATGGCCATGGTCAGGTTAATGCAAGGCGACATATGGCCAAATCGTTTTGGATCGTTCCTACGGTGTTCCAAAATGCTCCCCTGGGGCCTCCATGTGCGGTGTGCGCCTAAGCACGCGGCGCGTGCAAGAGGAAACCATGTCTGTTGACAAGGGTGCGTTTGTCACGATACAAACACAAATATCGCTTTCCAGGCATGCATTTACCGGGTTCATGCAGGTGTATACCGCTTGGTATGGTAATGAAAACAACGCACAAAAAAATTGAGCTGTGCTTGAATGATTGGATAGCCACCATGCTGTACCAGGGTGACGCTTATCAGAGTGACGCCTGAGCGAATGTTGCATGCCACATAAGGTCTAGGGTTCTTAGAAAAAGCCACCAGGTCTCCCCTGCCATGTTGCCAGTTTTTTTGTGCACATGTACAAGTTCGATGGTCTTTCGCTTGACGACATAACGGTGGCTGGAACTTGTGCAACCTTTAATTAGCCGCAAACTATGGGACTTCATTTTCACATGTTGTTGGGCGCGTTGCTGTGAGCCATGCTCGTTTGTGGTGGTACGGTCCTGCCCTTGCAGAAGGCGAATCCGATATACAAATTTGGAAGAATGCGAGCGCAACTCGTGTCGTCACGAGGTGCCACCGGGAACACACCAAACAGACGTGCAACAGAGTCGCTGCCATGGCTGGTTGCCGCTGTCTGTGTTACCTGTCTGCAACTTCCAGCCGCGTATGTCAACGACTACGCGACATTGTCTGACTGCGCAAGCCCTAGTTGCAATTTATGTGCGTTCAGGTTGTTGGGCTGCCAACATTTGGCAAATTTGCCTGGGTCTGGAGCTTGGTGGATTGACAACATGCGGCAATAACCTGATTGGAAGTGGCAAAAAAGTATTTTTTGCAGGACCTTACGCAAACCGTATCATGGCGTTCAATCTTCCAGGCCACGACTTGGATAACAGTGGCAGCCAACAACATTCTTGATTTGTCAGGCACCGGAAAACGGTGTGCCATGGGGGACGTGTCTTCCGAGACATATCCAAGGCTGCCGCGGATCCGAAGATGAATTAGGGAAAGTGGACTGCAGTGTCAATTCGCTGCTATGGCCCAAGCGTTTGATATCAGGCTGGTGAAATAACAGCACAACCCTGTTCATGCGCCTCACGATTTGCAGCGCATGGAATCCAAGCGGGCTCGTTTAGCTGATGATGAGCGACGACATGAGGAATGTTGTGGCGTGTAAGCATGTGCAGCTAACTCACATGTGCGCTGCACGAGACCTTTGAACATGGCTTGCAGGAGATTGCTAATCGTGTTGAAGTTGCCGCATCTAGTCACGGTGAGGACCAGCTAGGCCAAACCGTTGTGAAAATCACTGTCATGTCATGTCATCTTCGGCTCGACTTATGATTGAGAAGGAACGCTTTGTGGCAGTTTGCAACCGAGAGGTGCCTGTTGTGCAATGGCTCGTGTGATGTTTTCCGGGTTCAAATAAGCGTGTCTGCACTACTTTATCGGCCGTGCCAGGATGAGACGGACATGTCCATCGATACATTGGAGTCAATCTACATTGGCCAAGTGCGCGTAGCATTTGATTGAAGTAGAGTAGCTGTGCTAGTACATGCTGCCTGCGCGCCAGGCTCGCAGCACGTGGCGCGGCGTCCCGTTTGGACCCCTGTCACATTTGTGAGTTGGTGAACAGCGGAAAAATCAAACGCAAACGGGCTTCTTTTGTCGTTGCTCAGTTAACCGCTTTGGATGCTGTGCGCGATTGTGCGGTGACTGCACACCGTCTCAATTACGCGCATGCATCATCATATGCTTCCACAGCATGAATGCCGTCCGGTTCCAATTGGCCACGCATCTGACAACTGTTGCGATGAATGTGGCATTGTTCAAACGGACATAGGTTGTTGAATTGATTTCTTACCAGCTGCGAGGAAAGAGCGCGTTCGATTGGCAAATGTATGCCATGATGATCCTCGCCAAGGATTTTGACCCACTCAAGGATACAGGTAGGCTACAACCTCCGACTGGCTTGATGCCTGTTTGAAACAGGATCGAAGAATTGCAGCCGCGCACCATCATTGACATCGGGTCATGGGCTGGCGGCAGCGCGCTCCTTGCAGAACAGCTCGTCATGTCTATGATTGACCTTGTAGCTGGGTCCTATCAAGAGCTTGCATGTGATTTCTTAGCATGTGTTCCTTGATGTCATCAGTTTTGGCTTGCGATTCAGTCATTCGTCGCGAGTGCCTGCTTTCTGACTGCTGTGTCAAGGCTGTTCTTTGCCGATTTTGGTGAAATGTTGGTTGGTGACGCATTCGGCAAAGTTGCTGCTTATTCGCACATGTTTACATTCGAGACCAGGTTCAAGTTGGGTTCGAATGATGATACATTGCACCTGTGCTGCTCTCACCAAGGTCAGTTTGGACGTGACCCTGAAAAATGTCCGCGCCGGGTCAGCATCAACACATGTCAGCACAGTTTTCAACTCTGTTGTTCTTGTCTGTCTGGGATGACATCCAACTTCTAGTTCCGCAAGAATCATGCCTGGCTGAATGCCACCATCATTCCTTGAGCATTCATTTCAATATTGTTTCATCATCTAGATCACTCAGGTTGGAGTAAAGGTGCGCGCGATCCTGTCAGCCGTTGTTGATGATAAATTGTTGGTCACACGCGGCATTTTGTAGTGTTGCTGCGCTTGTTATTCCCCTAGCTATGCAGCCTGCAGCGTGTTGCCACTCACGGAATTCCCGTTCGCATCCGTTCACATGAATGGATGCCACTCCTCCTAGTGCACTGCGGTAGCAGGTGACGGAACAATCAAGAATGTATACAACTTCGAAATTGAAGCCAGGGTGGCTGATTGGTTCATTCTTTGCAAGCTTGTCTGATCCGACATCGCAAGAGCCAGTGAAGCGAAGCGCGTCCAGAATTGAGGGCGATCACTGTGTAGATTAGGCACCCGTGCTCGGCTACATCCGAAGATTGAATTTCATGTTGCTTCTCCGCATCTGTGTTTGTTCTGGGTTAGTTCATTCAGTCGGCCCTGCCGTGCAACACAGGAATGCAACACCAAAGACTTTCAGGACCCCCGACGCAGAGAAGATATGTGCTCTCGATGGCATTGTCACCCGGCACATGTCACAAGAGTCGAAGATACGTGGGAGGACTTGTTCACCGATGAATTCGTTGCCAAGTTGCCACATCCTTGGTGACTCTGTCGCACCCTGAATCTTGTTGGCTCAACCTGCGGACGATTCACAGTGCCTGTGAGCTGTCTCAGACAGTTGGTGTCGGTGCTGTTGGAGGATTGTCTCGGAAGATGCTCACCACCACTTTGATGCCGTCATGCAGCGGGTGCATGAAACATTGCAAGTTGGCGACTATTTGGTGGAAGTTTGGCCGCATAGTTTGGCATTGCCCATGTGCGCGGAGCGAATCGTTCGCACATCGCCACAAGGTGGAAGACACCAGCCACCAGATGCAAGATTGGTTCCAAGACAACGTTGATGAGGAGACAGAGGTCTGAAACTTATGCTAAGTTCTGGGAACATGCACCAACTTTGCATATGTGCTGAAGAAGTGCTCCGAGTCGCGCCAATTGTGGAGAATTTAATTGGGACTCGCATTTCTGCCCCTTGATGTTTGAAACCCAGTAATGTCTGGAAACATCTGGTATTATAATATGAGAGGGAAGGGCGTTTAATTGCGACCGCAGGGGGGGGAACAT